GGCGGTGGCGGTGCAGGCAGTGGAGTGGCAGTGACAGGGGTAAGTGACAGTGAAAGCTGACAGTGACAGTGACAGTGCAATGGCAGTGACAATGGCACGTGGAAATGGAAGTGGAAATGGCAGTGGCAAGTGGCAGTGGCAGTGGAAGTGGAAGTGCGAAGTGGAAGTGGCAGCGGCAGTTGAACAGTGGCGAGTGGCAGTGCGACAGTTGGCAGTCTGAAGTGGCGTGGCGTGGCGTGGCGGTGGCGGGGTGGCGGTGGGCAGTGGCAGTGCAGTAGCAGTGGCAGTACTATGGCAGTGGCAGTGGCGTGGTAGTGGTAGTGGGAGTGGCAGTGGCAAGTGACAGTGATAGGAGGCGGGGGGTGGCGGAGGAATATGGCAGTGCATAGCAGTGGCAGTGGCAGTTGCAGTGGCAGTCTCAGATGGCAGTTCGCAGGCTGGCAGTCGCCAGTGGATAGTGAAGTGGCGGCGGGGGCGGTGGAGGCGAGGTTGCGGGGGTTTGGCGGAGCGTTGTGGTGGCGGGTCGGAGGCAGTGGCTGTGGAGTTGCCGTAGCGGGTGGCGGCGGCGGCGAGCGTGGCGGCGGTGGAGCCGGCGGCGGGGGGACGCTGCGCGAATGCAAGCGGCGTGGCGCGGCCATATGGCGGACGGCGGCGGGGGCCGGCGCGGGAGCGGAGCGCGGCGGGCATGGGCGCCGCGCCGCCGCCGTGATACGCGCCGCGCATGCGAGCGGTGTCGCGCGGGCCGGCGACGCGGCGGCCGAGCCATCGGAGGCGAGCGCCGGGGCCGGAGTGGTTCGCGGGGCCTCACACGACGTGACGAAAAGCATCGCCAAGAGACTGGTTTTTGACGCGCTTCCCGTGCAATGGGGGTGTGGGTAAAGGAGGCGGATCATTGGCCGTGTGCTTGGCCTGATTCTTTTCACGAGATGCAGTTCTGTTAGCGGGAGTATACATCAATTGTGCAATACACAGAAAATGTTGAATATTGTAGTTTCAGTTTTAAATCGACCACTGAAATGTGAGATGTGTGTGTACTCAGTCGTACGTTATACAATCTTCTGCCGTATTCATAGCCTTTTTTAATGTACATCAATTGTGCAATACACAGAAAATGTTGAATATTGTAGTTTCAGTTTTAAATCGACAACTGAAATTGATTAATGTGAGATTGAAACTCAGTCGTACGTTATACGATCTTTTGTCATATTCATAGCCTTATTTAAGTATTCTTTTGAATGTAAACAGAGTAATTTTGTGAGTGTTTTATTTACTACATTTTAGTTACTAAATTTGCAGAGTACTGCAGTTCATGTGACCTTGCAATAGAATTCCAATTTTGGAGTTTTGGATATGGAATATTAATTTCATCCTGGACAAATTTGTTATACAGAATAGACGTAAATAATATTCGACGTTGTAGCAATAACTCCTACTTCTGTGAATTAAACCATACTCTAAACTTCATTCATATGATACACACTATAAGTATGATAATAATAGTAATAATAATAATAATAATAATAATAATAATAATAATAATAATAATAATAATAATAATATTTACTTTTCTGCTAAAGAGCTATCGCTCGGTGGCGGAGTTTTACAGAACATATACAGCGATATTAATATTAAACATATATAATATGAAAAGTACAACTAAGGAAAAACTATGTAACGCTATGTAACGATGTTCACCAGCGGAAGCATAAAATTAACTTCACGTATGCGTTTGAACCATTAACGTGTTTAATTGTCGTCAGTTACAACAGGAACTACAATAGCAACGGACGTTAATTACGCCCGAAGCCCGCCGAGACAATTCGCCGTCCACTTGCATAATCTTGCATCTCCTTCCCCGACGTTTATGCGACACAACGGCCGCGCCCATCCTGCCGGCCGACGGCCGACCTGTGCGTGTGTCGCTAACACACTCAAGCACGTAGGTGTTACGATGAGGCACCGACAAAGAGCTCCGGGTTGCGCGTGGGCGTTGCACTTACGCGCACACACACAACTACAGTGCGTCTGGAAAGTCACTCCGCACCGATCCGATCAGGGTTTCCTATTCAAAATCGTGTTTACGTCGGTAGCAGCCAGATTACTGGGAAACGAGACGACACTTCCAGCATCTATTTCGATTGTAGTGAGTGCAAAATTTTCGGTTTTAAGCTGTAGATCGTGTTACGAACATAATTTCTGTTGGGAGCACTCTGACCAGAGAGGTGCATCTGAGGAGACACTTTTCTGACGCGTTATACCGCTATTCCTCGATAAAACATAGTATTAACAAATAAAATATCCCGTATCAGTGACCAATTTCATTTATAAATTGAGATCAAAATATAATGTAAATTGTAAAAAAGTATACACCTTTTATTAAAATCAGAAACGTAACAAGCAAGCAATGTGTATTTTACGACCACTGTAGTACGTGCAAAATCATCTCTTATACGTGATTAAATCTCTCATACTTTAAATCTTTTTCATCGCTCAGTCACATTTTCACAAATTTAATTACGATATTTTCCAAGTACGGTACATTTATGGGTGATGTTATTTTCATGACATTGAAATTCATCTTCGGGAACTTTTATTAGTGGTAAAAGTTGATAAAAATTCATTGTCTTCACCTTTATTCTTGGCCGCCCTGCCGCAGAAGACAAACACGAAGCCACCTCCGTCGACGAGAACGTGCTGCCGCCGCGGCGTGCGTGTCCGGGAAAGGGAAAAATCGAGCGCCGGGACCGCAGTTTGCAATTACGATTAACAGCGGACAAGTTGACGTACAATTAACAAGGAAACCGACTAGTGGAGCAGTTTCAGGGTTGGGCGAAATTCGATTTATCGCGTTTTTAACTGATGGTTTGTGATCGTTCAGCGGTTGGAACGAAGCCACCTTCTGCTGCAACGTCAACCGGACATTAAGGTTTATGAAAGATTGTAAATCATATAATTGGTCCCATATTACGAAAGACTGTAGATGCATCAATATTACATCGTTAACATGGTCTTGTTAGGGTTATCTTAATTAAAGTCGTATTTTCAGCGAACTGTTTATTACGGGAGAGGTGTATGTGAACACATCTTTAATTTCGATAAGTGGATCAATTTAACTTCTATACACATTATTTAGTGCTTTCGTGTGTGCTGATTTCTGCGCTTTGAAATATCCATTTAGCACGAGTACAATTTTTATTCACATTTGGAGTAACACACATTTCTCATTAGAATTCCTGGTTAGACTTCTGTGTAACACGAAAATGATAATGATAATAATAATAATAATAATAATAATAATAATTTACTTCTTCCAATTCATTTATAAGAATGTTAATAATAATACAATATAATGATACAATATTATCACATATATATGGCCGTAAGTTCTATATTCTTTTATAGCTTAAATAATATGGAAGAAAATAATGAATTAACAAACACGGAAATGAAAGATAACCACCATAATAGAGCATTAGCAATAGCAAATTTGCATTGAAATAATTTACCTATAACTGCAGGATGAAGAAACAACTTTTCGTGACATCCGCTACATTTTTTGTTGCAAAATCTGCGCCCTTCATGATCATCGGCTGACGCCAAGCACTCCCTCATTTTTAAGCGTGGAGTTACCGCGCTACTTTTATCGGTGTTCTGATTCTGTATCGGCAGCTGGTCCTTGAGCACAATTTTGCGTATTACATATCGAAGACCACTAGTTGCCCGAAGCATTGTAACAATCGCTCTCGCACCATATCTGCCACCAAAATTACTCACCAACTTACTGACGGCTGGCCGAGTGGTGGCAAGAGGAAAATTGGTAGTGGAAACTTCCCGCACGTCTGTCGAAACAATGCGAAATGGAGATGTTTGATAACGGCAACAGCCACAGAGCAATGAATTTTTACGTATTTTAATATTTACATAATTGTTGTTTTCCTCGCAAATTGTTACCATGAACGATTGAAGAATAAAGATTTGCAAACTATTTAGAAATATGTTATTTTAAGTTTGCGCACATAATGTATGTAATAATCTCATTTTAATAAATTTTGACTCATTTATAAATGTTTTTTTTCAATAAACTATTAGTAATAATACGGCCGTAAAACACTGATTAATTGATGTTGAATGATGTCAATCGGAATTATGTTTTATCTCACAACTTTTCTAATTTAAAAAAAATATCTCTATATTTAAGCAACTGTAATTATTGGGCCTGTATTGTTACGATTTTTGACATTGTTACAGCATTGTAATTGTGATGAAATACCCGCAAACAAGAGTCATAATATAATTGATGAAGTGTAATAAATGTAAGACACCTGTTTATAAGTTGTGTCAGAATACTCGGTATGAAAGTCGAAATAGGCTTATTAACTGTAATTTGTGATATTAATTGTTGCACACGTGCCCCATCCAACAATGAGTCGTCAGCCAACACGCCCCACGCCAACACGCAGCGCGGAGCCTCGACGTGCCTGTAGCCCCTTGCGCGGGCGGCGCGCCCACCCGCCCGCCACGCCAGCCTCAGGGGGCAGGCAGGCGCGCCGCCGCGCCGGCTCCACACTGAAGCGCCCCCCCCCTCCGCCCGCGCCGCACCGGCCGCCGCGCGCCGGCTCGCGCTCGCACGCGGCGGGCGGCCGGCAGGACGCGAGCGGCCGGCGGGGGGGCGCCGGGTCGCGCGCCGCGCCACAATAGCACGCGTCCACGGCCGCGCGCGCCCGCGCCGGGGCGGTCGAGTGGAGGGGAGAGAGAGGGGCGGCAGAGCGCGCTGGCGTCGGTGGGGAAGGAGGGGGAGGAGGGGAGGCCGGCTGGGGCGCGCGCCGCGCCATCGTGTGGCGTGCGCTGCGCTGTGCGGTCGTGCCTTGCGAGAGTAGAGAGAGAGCGAAGACGGTCTGCGCTGCGCCGCTGCGGTCGCTCCTGTGTGCGAGTGCGTATCGGCGTGTGGGGAAGTAGGGACGCCCTGTGACCGGAACGAGTGTCGCCGCGCGCTGCCTGGCATGGTGACGGAGGTGCCAGCGTGACGGCGTGGGCGCGGCGTCCGCGCCCGCCGGCGGCGGCTGCGTGCCCCCCGGCCCGGACTCCGCGCTGCCGCCCCCGCGCCGCTCCGGAGAGAACCGACGGGTGAGTACCTGATGCTGAGCTGCGCGGTGTTTGTTGTTGTTGGTGTTGCTGCTGCTGCTACGGCTGTTGCTACTCGGGGAATTCCTCTTACGGGGTATATGTTTTTCCACGTGTTCGTCCTCCGATACGATTCCCGTGTTGAACATTTACCCTTACAACTCACAGTATTTAGTTCACGTGAATTTCTGGGGTAGTTCACGTGGGGGTTGGACACCCAAGCTTGGTTTCGTTAATAAACATTTTGAATTTATTTTTCTCGGGCTCTGAAAATAAGTGGCGAAAATTTTATTTCCTGTATTTCGAAAGTTTGGTTTCAGAAATTGTTTAAAGTGTGCTTACAAAACCACCACCTTCAAAATTTGACTGAAACATTTAGAAATGGCTTTTGTGACCAGTTTTTAATGTGGGAACGAGTGTTGTGAGGTGTAGGAAAATAATGTGGTTTAGTATAATTTTACAAGTTTTGTGTTGGATAACATTAATTTTTGGAAGACCTGTATTCACGCTCAGTAACTATTTCTACAATTTATTGTATTTTGAAATTGCTGCGATAGCAGCACGACGTACATGTTCGCACATGTCTGGTCTACGTACGAATTTTAATTCCGGCCCAAAAATCTATGTTCAACTACGTGCAACAAGGTTAACGTTATCAAGTGCGTATTCTCAAACAAGCAAGTGCATTCCGCTTTATTTTGATTCCAATTTCGTTGCGCGACTCCCCACCGTTTTTTAATTTTTCCCCCTCGTAAACCATCGCCAGCCAGAGTGCACGGGCTCCCACAGGCGGCAACAATCTGCGTTCCCAAGCGTGTCCGCTCCACCTGTTAACCTCCGGGGGCGGGCCGTGTGGCGTGGCGTGGCGGGCGGTGCGCGCATAGAGAGACGGGAAGTGGGCGGCGCGGCGCTGGGCGGAGGCGGTGGCGGCCGCCGCCGGGGGCGCATCCGGCGGCGGCGGTCTGATGGGCGCGCACGCGCCGCTTCTCTCGCCGCCGCCGCCGCCCGCGCGAGCTGCTTATCGCCGGCGTCGCTTCCGCGCGCTGCCGCTTTCATCTGCGCTCGCCGCCGCCGCCGCCGCCGCCGCCGCGCCCCGGCCACTCCCGGCCGACGCCGCCCTCGCGCCCGGACGCCTCGCCCCCGACCGACCCCGGGCGGCTTTCACCCGCGCGCCCGCCTACGCGCCGTCTGAGCGGTGGAAGTGCGCATTGCTTTAAAATACGAGTATTGGCTTCTTTCCTTTGATACGACCGTTGTGCCTTCTATGCTTCATACATGTCAAAAATTGGAAGAGTTATTTTAAACTTTTTTTTTCATCTCACTACATCGTATGTTTGTCAGTGATGTCATTTTTCAAAACTATATAAATAAATTTTGTATTACAGAAAATCCTCATTAATGAGAATTCATCGGACTTACTTAAAGGAAATAATCGGACTGTAAAAATGTGCGTTACCCAGTTATTATAAATATCCATATTGCTGTAATCCCTTTTCGGTATCCAAGCTTTTTTCGTGTTTCGGCGAAATTCGAGTTAAGAGAGTACGTACTAACAAGTGTTTCATGTAATACAACATAGGCACGATTCAACAAAGCAGGAAAGACCTCGTCTTCAACACGCTTTTCATTCGTGATTTTATCGTTCGATGAAACGAAAACGTCTTATTGACGTAAACCCTGTTTGTTTACCATCTCTGTTTACTTGCGTACGGGCACAGTGAACACGTCGATCTCCAGACGTCACGTCACGTATTGAGTCGCAATCAAAAGCATTGTTTCCCAACGGACGCAGGGGTGGATCCAACCGAACGTTTCTAAGGGGCGCATCGTTGATTTTTATTAAATAAACATATTCGGTGCTATATTGTATATTATTTATGTACTGGAGATGAAGCTATACAATATTATTGTTTAAATATTCGCACGTAAATTAATATTTATAACAATTGGGCATTTAAAATCTCTTGGGAGGAAGATGGCATGGCCCTCTCCTAGATCCGCCAGTGTCTACAAAAGCTTCAGAACGGCGGCTCGGCGTGCCCTCCCGCGCGCGGCTCGGAC